ATTAATATATATATATACATACATACATACATGTATATATGTCGTTACAAATATGATATAAATGCTAAATATTTTCATTTACCTTAATTATCTATTTCAATAAAACCATTATACATATGTATATTCATATTATATATTCTTTAATATCGCACGTAAACTCTTCTATAGGCAATATAATACATATATACATATATATATGTATATGTATATATATATATATATGTATATATTTGTATTTACAGGAATATGTACATTCTATATTAAATACATTTGCAATTCAAAAGTATAGAGCTCAGTGCATGTGTGTCGCATGTCTATATTATGTTCAAATAATAAAATTTGTTTTAATGGCGCACATCATTTAAGAAGGAATCTGAATGATATTATCTTTATGAGAATTAATGTACCTTAAAATACCGAATCAAATTTTTTTCTTTTTTGTTTTTTTTTTTTTTTCTCCATACACTGTATAAAAGGGTATCATCAGTCAGTAATCTAAGATAAAATAATATACTAATTCCTTCATTTTCTTTTAAGGCTTTGCCATATTTTTAAAGATGTCAACTCTTTTTTCTTTTTGTCTTTTTATATGCATCAATGATATACATATACATATATACATATATATATATATATATATATATATTTATATTTACATGTGTATATATATATCCACACACACCAGGATTATTGTAGCATAATAAAAAAAAATTTGACAAAACCTCACATACGTGTGATCCTTAAAATACTCTTTACTGTAATATACCGGATAAGACAATATGGAGAGAAATGATTTTAGGAACATATAGTGTACTAATGAGAAATGACATGGACGGACAGACAAACAGATTTTGCAGTGCTGGGCTTATTTTCTTTTTTTATTTTCTTTTTTTTTTTTTTCCTTTTTTTCCTTCCATTCGAGCTTTCCGTCATTGTGCTTTTTTTTTCTTTCTTTCTTTCTTTTCTTTTTCTTTTTTTTTTTTTTTTTTTTTTTTATATATATATATCCTTTTTTTTATCTTTTTCTTTCTTTCCTGTTTTTTTTTTTTTCTTGTTTTTTTTTCTGCTTTTTTTTTTCTTTTTTGTAATATTTACTTCTTTTCTGGACGATATGGTTGTTCCAATGTAGCTCCAGCTGATGCTGTTGCAGGTGTAGCTGTTGTGGCGGGCCCTGCATTTGTTGCATGTTACCACTGCCACCTCCCCCGTAGTTTGTATAAGCATGGTGCATCATTAGAGGCGCCATACCCACTACATATATCATAGTTTTTAATTTCAGATTGTGAATAGTAACTACCTAAGCTTTGATTTTTCTCAAACCGTAGAGAGCACCTAAGCAGCAGAAACAATGAGATAGCATAGAAAATAACAAACTCTTTTAATCATGCCTTTTGTTATAACAACTATTGATTTGTTACAACATGGAGACAGAGAAAGAGAGAAAGAGAGAAAGAGAGAAAGAGAGAAAGAGAGAGAGAGAGAGAGAGAGAGAGAGAGAGAGAGAGAGAGAGAGAAAGTATTTAAGAAAAATCTTTGAATGAAATGATTTTTCTTTAAGAGGAAGAGAACTTTAATATTCTTTTTCTTTTTATTAGATTTCTTTTCCTTTTCTTTGTTTCCTTTCTTTTTTCTTCTTTTTATCTTTCAGAGTAATGAATAAAAATAAAAATAAAAATAAAAAAAAAAAAAAAAAAGAAAAAAAAAAGAAAAAAAAGAAAAAGAAAAGAAGAGGAAGAAAAGAAGATGTTTCTGCAACTTGTGTAGCCTGTACTTGATAAATTTACACATTAAATATTTTGGAATACAATAGATTTGAATCGTCGTCGATTACATCATTGCATTATTATTAACGAGAGCATTATATCAGGATTTAGAGAAACCGTTAAACGACGATTTACATAGCGCTTAAAGGTGAAAATAGTATATAGGAAAGTGGTTAACGCATATATAGTTCATGCCAGCAAAACGTTCTATTTAATGTATTATTGGACTTCTCATGCACCGCCATGCGCTAAGAGTTTATTAGAACTAAAGACTAAAGAAATGAAGAAGAAGGGTCGCTAAGAAAAATATACAGCGACCTACATAGATTCAACTAAATGTTTAGTTGTAAAAGAGAAAAAAAAAAAAAAAAGAAAAAAAGAAAAAAAATAAATAGATATATGTGCAATTATATATATATATATATATATATATATATATATATATATATATATATATATGTATGTGTGTGTGTGTAAAAGAAAATAAATAAATAAATAAATAAATGATGATGATAAAAGAATCTTAAGCGATAGTATGTATGCTTTGTGAATAAACCAAAGTGCGATTGAATTCACATTTTTTTTTTTCTTATGTAACATGTATGTAATAATCTGTATGAATGTGTATATATATATATATATATATATATATACGTATGATATGTGGGAGATATGTATATTAACTTTGAGCAAAATTATGTTGTCCTCATTTCTTTCTCTCTTCTTCATTTTATATGAGATGTAATGAACAGATGTAAGATGATATTGTTTGTCTTTTTCTTTCTCTTTTTTCCTTTTCTTTTTGGTATCCTTACATTAAACATTTCTTTTTCTTTTTTTTTTTTCTTTTTTTTTTTTTTTTGGTTTTATATATTTTAGTTTTATATATTATAGTTATATATATTTTTTATAGTTTTTTTTTGTTTTCCCTTTCAAGCCTAACAACGACGTCACTTATCCCAAGATCATTTAATCACAATTAATTAAATCATTATTTATGGCATAGGTGTGAGCATAAAAGAAAAAAAAAAATATATATATATAAAAAAGAAGATCGTTCAAATTTCCCACTTTGCAATTTTTTTTTGTCTTTCCTTTCATTTCTAAATTCTTTCATTTCTCTCTTTTTTTTCTCTTTTTTCTTTTTTCTTCACGACCTTTTTCCTACGACGTTACCTACGCAAAAAACTAGAATAGATACAATAATAATAATTAAAAATAAACATTAAAAAATAAAAAAAAATAAAAAAAAAATAAATAAAAAAGATCAAAAACAATTTTTTTTTTTTTTTTTTTTTTTTTTTTTTTTTTAATTATAAAAAAAGAAAGAAAATAAAATGCACGTGTTATATATATATATATATATATGATAAAATATAATTTATCGATCGAGTTTGTCGATAATAAAGAGAGAGAAAGAGAAAGAGAGAAAGAGAGAAAGAGAGAGAAAGAAAGAGAGAGAGAGAGAGAATGAGAGAGAGAGAGAGAGAGTTAAAATAAAAGTTTCGTAGAAGTATGCCGGTAAGTATAATATATATATACATATATATATATATATATATAAGTATGTATGTATATACGAATCACTAAACTAAGATCATATTATTTGTTTACATCGACAGACACCGACAGTACACGAGGTTTAACGCGTGCACAAGTCGCTGACGCCACTTTTGTTGCTACTGCTGCCACCAATGAACTCTTCCTTCTCTCTCTGTCTGTCTCTCTCTCTCTCTCACTCTCTCTCGTTCTCGCTCTCTCTCACTCTAACTCACTCACTCTCTCTTTGTAAGTGAACGAACGAACGTTTACGTCGTCGTATCATACCTAAGAATTATTACGTAGAAATGAAATTCGATTGTTTTTACTTTCTTTTTCTTTTTTCTTTTTTCTTTTTTTTTCTCCTTTCTTTTATTTTATTTCATTATTTCTCTTTATTATCACAATCCATGGCGTTCGTCAGTCACACGATTAACTTTAAAAATAAGAACAATATTTAAAATGAAATAAATTTTGTGAATATTTTCACTATGATAATACAAATATTTTCTAATTATTATTCACTGGTTGTTTATTATTATTTTTTTTTTTTTTTTTTTATTTATTTTTCCATTTTTGACTACCGATTGTTTCCTATTTTTCAAACCTTTTCTTTAAACTTTCCTCCATCTTTGTTTTTTTTTGTTCTTTTGTTTTTATTCGTATGATAAAAATAAGAATAATCGATATAAGAATAACGAAAAAAAAAAAAAAATCCATTGAGAAGTGAAAGGAAAAAGAAAAAAAAAAGAAAAAGGAAAAAAAAAAGAGAGACAAAAAAGAAACATCCGGAAGAAAAACAGTCGTTTTTTTTAAATATGTTTTGTGCTATATTTGCGCGGGCATTTATGAGATTTAAGAATGGGAAATATATTTAATTATTATTCTTTACTTTCATTTCTTTTTCGCAATCGTCGATCGTTTCTTTATATATATACATATATATATACATATGTACATACATATTATTATTAACCTGTATTTGATTTTTAATAACGCACAAAACACGTGCAAGCTTAAGAATTAATCGTACGTATGAATAAAATAAAATCATCGTATTTCAAATTCATTGAAATTAAAACAAGAAAAGAAAAAAAAAAAAAGAATAAAGAAAAAGAATAAGAAAATGAAACAAAGAAAAAAAAACAAAAGAAAGACTAACCAAAGAAGGAAAAAAGAAGAATCATATTTTTATATTTTTAAATATTCGCGGACTTTAAATTTGAATCATTTATTATCACTAAAATATTACTATTATTGTTTCAATTGTCAATTTTCTTTCGAACTTTTTAATGTGTTCTACCACCCCTCCAACCGCAGGTATTCATCCCTTACCCTTCTCAATCATCCCCACGTGCTTTTGAAATTATTTAGCATCTATCAATTCTGACTTGTCAAAAAAAAAAAAAAAAAAAAAAAAAAAAGAGAGAGAGAAGAAAGTGAAAGAAAAATTTTGACGTACATAAGGATCATAATGATCTATATTGCTCAATCATTATGATCTATAATACATACATAAAAATATATATATATATGATCTGAATGAAAGTTTTATAGTCGATCAATGATAGGATTAAAATATTTTTCTTCTTATTTTCTCTCTCTCTCTCTTTTTTTTCCCCTTGTTTTTTTAATATAATTATTCCGGACTCCTTTAAAATAATTCAATTTTCTTTTGAAATTTACGTTTAGAGTTGA